CACCAAGGGCTTCGATTAGAGAAACTCCTTTCTCACTCGCCTTTGGAACTAAGACACTCGTACCTATGAAAATCAGGGTACATTCTCTAAGGGTCCAACACCACGACCCCATCATTAACGAGGAAGGACTCTACATCAATCTCGTCTTGGTGGAGGATGAAAGAAAGATGTCAATGGTTTGGAATGCGGGATATAAGCGTCGCATGACAAGATACTACAACTCAAGGGTGAAGTCTCTTTCCTTCTAACCAAGAGACCTAGTCCTCAAGAAATTAATCCTCGCTATGAAGGATTTGTAAAAAGGAAAGTTTGGACCAAATTGGAAAAGACCCTACCTCATAACAGAAGTAGTGATGCTAGTCACCTATAGGATCCAGAATTCCGAGGGGAAGGTCTTACCCCATCCAGGGAATGCCGAGCATCTGAAGAGGGACTACCAATGATTCCTTAGGAAGGTAGAAGTAGTAAAGCTGGAGAACTTGATTTTATTTCTTGTACCTTTTTTGGGTTATTACCTATTATTGCTTAGCATAAGCAGTCATCGAATAAAATTTTCTAAATTTACTTCAAAAGTTCTTTGCATTCTTGCATTCTATTTCAAAAGAACATCAGTAGTAAAAAACCATTTTTACAAAAGGAGACTACAGACTGCCTTTCTAAAAAAATAAGAAAAATCAAAAAGTCCCCAGCACTCTAACTACTCTCATGGCCGTCATCCTCAGTGTGCTCGTCCTCGACCTCGCCCTCTACATCATCAGAGTCATCATCATCATCAAGTGCCTCATATGGCACAAAGTCTGAAAGGTCAATATGAGGGAAAACAGTAGAAATATTTTTCGAAACTCCTCATAGTGATCAATGAAGGCATTTGCAAGGCCACTCTCTAAATCAGCCTCAACCTTGACGACCCTCTCACAGCCAATAGTAGATCAACCTTAGCCCAAGAAACCCTCTCGCGAGTTGCCTTCACCTCTACCTTCTCTCTCAAGCAGGCAGCCTCTCTGAGCACGGCCCTCTCGTGGGTCGCCACATGCTCAGCATCAACCTTAGCCTCCCTCTCACAGGTCGCCACAAGCTCTACTTCAGCCCTCGTGCAAGCAGCCTCACTAAGCGCGACCTTCCCACAGGTTCCCACAAGCTCAGCTTGGAAAGCCCTACCATCAGCCTCAAGCTCAACAATCCTCCCCTAAGAAGTAAGAAGCTCTTTTTGCACAACCTCATGACTCTGCTTCAATCGACTAAAATGAATAGCCCTTGAAAAGAGACACATAGAGGAAGCTGAAACCTGAAGAAGACAAAAGAATGTTAGTACCTAAGAAGGAACTGGAGAAAGGGAAAAAGCAGACCCTTACCTAAGCCAGACCTTCAAGAACAGTGTCAATGACACTCTCAGTGCCCTAAGCACTAACCTCACTAATGTCTGCTAGAAAAAAAAACCTCCCAAGTCACTCCCTGACGATTCACACATCACCCAACATAAAGCCAGTCTAAACAAGTGCTCTTGTAGAAGTCCCCATAGGCGGAGTCGATGAACGGGGGATAGGAGGTGTGGCCGACAGGGGAGTCTATGGAGTGACTGTCACCTCTGAATGATTCGTTGATTGAGGAGGCGCCACTGGAGGGGTCATCTTAGAAGGGCTCGCCAAAGCGTTGCTGACCCTCGCTATCTTAGGAGGAGTACTCCTAGTGGAATAACGGGACTCCACTACTGTCATGTCCACTATGGAAGGATAGAAGTGTTATCCTAATGAAAGACCAATCAAATGAGGAGAATACAATGGAATCAGCATACCCTTTCTCTTTAAAGATGAACCACTTGGTCTCGAAGAGGGTGTACCAGCCCTAGCATTACTTATATGAGAGTCTCTAGCTCCACCCTATTTGAGCATAACAGCTCCAAAGTCTTCACGAGGTGAGCCTTCACAGCCTACAACTTCCATTCTTGATCTTTCAGGAGCACTGGGGAACTTGGAAGGGATATGATGAGTACACATTTGCAAAAATTGAAGGAAAAAAGAGAAGAATGGGCGTACCAATTCTCTTAGGAGTGTCCCATCTTGTTGGTACCAAAGCTCTGTCAGCCTCAGAAGTCCATTCTCCTCCAACAAATATAAAACAAGCCTTCTGCTATGGCAGTTAGAGCGTAACACAGTGATCAATTTTCCTCCCATTGGAGTACATTAGAATTAGCCACGATTGAGAGAAGTAGTTTCACTCAAAGTATAAGCTGCACATAACTCCTTAGGAGAAGCATCCTCATGATGCACCCTTCTCGACAGTGCTAGAAACCCTAGCAAAACTCTCTAACTGTTGGGCGCCAACTGCCCTAGTGCAAATAAAAAGTAATGTAGAATGCGATAAAGAGAGGAAGGCATTGGGAACCTCAGCGCAACCTCAAGCACCTCCTCATAGATAGAAAGGTCTCCAGAGGAGTCATCATAAGCAGGATCTCCCATCTTGGCTCGACAAAATGACAATTCGCAAAATATCAGCATCAGTATTGAGGGTACTAGAAATGATACTTACTTTTAATCTGTCATCATCAAGAGCTACTTTTCCCCGACGTTTGCTGCTACGGGGATGAGAAACATTCCCCGGGCCACTAACAGGAGAGCCTGGTGGAATCTGACTCTGTGGAGTTCCACCTGAACCAACCAAATCATCCATTAGACCAGAGTTATCACTGCTAGCATTCTTTTGCATACTCTGCTCCAAAGCTCTGTGCCTAGCACCCACCATGCATGGCGCCACTTGCGGGCTCCGCTGCTTGCACCTAACGCTCAACAACACCCCTTCTCTGCAATTAGCAGGGTTGCCTGACCCTAGCATTGACTAGCATTAATGACGCCTGGCAGGGTTGCCTCGTCAATGACGTCTGTTTGGGCAGCCTCACCTTCAGCATCCAGCTGGGCTGCCTTGTGTCCATCATCTAAGCTCGCCCCCTATAGCCGGTGCCCAGCCTTGGCATGCTCGAACCACTGCGATTGGCTTGCTCTAGCGCACATGGCACCTTCCAGACGACACCTCTCTAGAAGGAGCCTCGGCCAACGCTGCCACTCCCAAAGGCGTCTCGACCAGCTACGCCTCACCCAGCGGCGCTTCGACCTCGGCGCCAATCACTTGGGTCGCCTCTTCTTCGAGCCTTGACGTCTGGGTGACCTCACCTCTGATGCCTACCTGGACTTCTAGCCCTCAAACTCCGACTGTTCCTCTTGTTTTGACAGAGACCGCCTGAGTTTTTGCATCCACTCAAATCAATCCATCATAAATCTCCTCTCCTTCACTTGACATCATCTCGGAGTACTAAAATCAGGAATGAGATCACAAATCTTCCCTCTTGCCTTTGTCCTTGGGGACTTCACTAGAAGCCCTCTCTCAAAATGAATAAAATGAGGAGAGAAATAAGAAACCCCCAATTTATGCCCAAGGGCCTTTTGAAATACCAAAAAGAAATAAAATGGGGGGAGTTTATATAGCTCGAGATGTCCTACAAAGCTAAAATATATCAGGAATGAAGGAGGAGCCTTAGTATGTGATTAAGAAAATCGAAATCCAGTCGAAGTGCAACATGGACGTAGCATGATTCTTCTCAGATTGTTAGAGAGTCCTTGTTGGGTTGAAACTGATTGCCTTGACATTGACTTTGTTTCCTTAGTCAAGAGGAGTCTTCGTGAGTCAGAATTCAAATTCAACTAGATGCTCTCTTCTCTAAGTTTTATTGGACTCAGGGCATTAGGGGGCAAATGATGGGCCAGGCCCAACTAGACGAGATCCAATGGGTCTAGTCCAAAAGAGGTCCACGACCAGTCAAATTCATTAGGTTTCGAGGAGCTATATCGCCAAGGGAGTAAGCAGGGTTATCCAAGAGCCTCATTCATGCCTTGGAAGAAGTCAATCACCACGTCATTCTTTGACCTAATCTTAAGGGGAGCTCTGTAACTGACTCATCCGTTGAGAAGATAGCGCCAGCTCCATCAGATTCGCTACTTAGCTACTGAAAAGACACCTCAATCTGTTAAGAGGCACTATAAATTGCCCCACCAATACCTGGAGGGGCATTGAGCACACCTGCTATTCGTATTCGTGTTGACGCACATAAACTTTGAATAAAAAATTTAACTATAATATTCTATTTTCACATAATTGAATTCATACTCATACTTTTCTACAAACTCAAAATTAACTTAAATAAATATAATAATAATAATAAAAAATAAAAATATATTTTTTATAAAATAATTATGTTAGAGCTTAATAAATAGTTACAAAAAATTAATATTTTATATCTATAATACTAGTTAAATATGTTAATTTCGTGTTACCATACAAACGAGAAAATGAAAAAAAATGTTTATTCTTACATAAATAAGTTGATGGTATCAATTTTTGGTTTGACGGGTTGAACTGAATATGAGCCGTTTATATTTTGTGTTCGTGTGTCAGGTCATTTTTTAGTTCGTGTCAAATTCGAGTCGTGTCATCGTGTTGATCAGAAATTTTCACCTCTAGCTAAGATGGAAAAAATAATTTTTTATTTTAATTTTAATTTTTACTTTTACTTTTACTTTTTAAAAAAAATATATATATATAAAATTAGTGTATACATAATATATGTAAATGTCAAAGGACATATAGAAAAATAAGATACATTTTAGTACAAATAATTAACTTTTCATCCATTTTTCTTCCGATTTTAGAGGAATTGATTTTGATGAGTTGAAAGGAAAACTCATTTATCCACTTTTTTATCATTTCCAAATATGATATTTTATTGATCCCTTCAATTTTTTATTCTTCCAAATTTCCATCGTATTAACAGAGCATAAAAGACCTAGAAGGAGGAGACAAGCAAGAACACCAGATTTGGGTACTAGTCTCGTAGGCAACAAATGTTGTTGGGCATCCTTAAATTGATGCAATAGGAAGAGGAGAAATCCACAATCTGCTATGGGCACTGGACATTCTGACCTAGACGTGTTTTATTTCTATTATACCAAATTGACCACATAATTACTAGTACAAATTCCACTCGATCCGAAGACAGATTTTCAGACAAAAGCAAGAACCATTCATGAAATTGGGACACACCATGTGGAAAAGCAATGGCAACAACCTGCCAAACCAGGACAGTAAAAGGACAAAACTGAAAGACATGTTCTAGCGATTCTTGATAATCACCACAAAAGAAACATTCATTCTCAACTGGGATTTTCCTCTGAATGAGATTAACTTGAACAGGCAGAATATTAAGAAGAAGCTTCCACGCAAAAATCTTAGTTTTGCCAAGAAGAGATAGGTTCCACATGAAATAATCCCCATCCACATTGGAACGACTGCTCGAAGAACAAGAGAACTCTGTTGCCTATGCAAACCATGCTCCATTATCAGATAATAACCACTTCGAAGCTCGAACGACATAGGACCCCGACTTACATGGGAATCGGCTAGAAGATCTTCACACAATGGGATAAATAAAATATCCTTTACATCAAAATCAAGAAAAAGATAGATGAGTTTTGCATAGTCCCAGCATCCTCTATCCTGATCAATCAGAGAACTTACTACCATATCATCTGGGACACCCTGAAGAGGGGTTATAGCTTTAAATGTTAAGGGCCGAGGAATCCACTTGTCCTCCTTAATTTTAATTGAAACTCCATTCCCAACCCTCCATCTCATACCAACACAAATTACAGCCTTAGAAGCAAATATACTACGCCATATATAAGAAGGAGCATATACAAGCTGACTATGAATGAAAGAAGAGGAAGAAAAATATTTAGCTTTGAGAACTCTCGCAAGCAAGGTATCTGGATTCTTGATAAGCTGCCAAGCCTATTTAGCCAACAAACTCAGATTGAATGCTTCCATATTACGAAATCTCTTTCCCCCTCTTGATTTTGGGACACACAACTTATCCCAAGACAACCAATGAATTTTATAAGCCGTAGTTGTATCTCCCAAAATTTTGTCATTAAACTATGCAGCTCAAGACATCAGGATGAAGGAATTCTGAAATATGACATGGCATACGTCGGAACAGCTTGAGCAACAACTTTGGTAAGGGTTTCTCTACCAGAAATCAATAGCATTTTACTCTGCCAGCCTTGAATCCTTTGCCAAACCCGTTGCCGAATTGAATCAAATATCTCTCTTAAAATTCCCAGCAATAGAAGGTAGCACCACTTGAGACACATCAATCTTTTAAATTGAGATTTGGTGAGAAAGTGAAATTTTCACTTTCCTCCAAAACATTTGGAGTATGTGAGTTGGAGGGCAAAGACATGAATCTCACATTGGTTCTTGGAGGTTCTTCATGGATTCATCTTCACCTATAAATAGAAGAAGAACTCCATACTCCACTCCAAGTCTCAAGGAATCATCTTAAAGAGGAATCCTACGTAATGAGAACTTCAAGTTATAATTTTGTATGTGTATATATATATATATATAAAGAAGAAGAAGAAATAAAAAGAGGGAGGCGATGTTCAACCGCGCAAATATCGTTTCGAACATGCTTTGCTTCTAGTACTTTTTCAGAATCACAGTTTTTGACAGAAACTAAGATACTAGGATATCGTTTTGTTTGAATGCAACCCATGTTCGAACGTGACTTACTCCTAGTACTTTGGCAGAAATATCATAATATCTTACAATTGAGATACTAAAAGTTGAGTTCAAAACCGACAGGTATTCTGTTTGAAATTAGTCTCTAACAACTATATTATTGCAGGTCTTTTAACGGGTGTCTTTTGCCATGGTTTTAAAGGGTTACACTCCTTCATTGAGAGAGGCATAGATAGGATTCAAATGTAAGAACACAGAATCAACAATTTAATCCTTCTTCTTCTCCTTGATTCAAAGCTTCTATATTTTATGATTTTCAATTTGGGTTGAGTTTTAATTCCAAGATTATTAAGGAGTGTAGTTTTTGATAATCTTAAAGTTAGGCATTGTATCACGGGGATAGAATTTCCAAGAGTTCATCTACATTATAAGTGGGAAAATTACTAGTTCGAAGATAGCGAGTGTCGCGCCTTACCTAGCGATCTATCTTATTCGATTTTTGATTCATTGCTTTTCTATTGCTTGAAATTATTTTACCACACTATTTTCTACAACATCATCCCCAACAATAGGCCAAAATTTATGATAGAACAAGACATTTAATCCATTAGGACTAGGACTTTTAGAGGGATGCATTTGATACAAAGCCTCCACTATTTCCATCGATTTTTTTTTTAACTTTTTTTGGGAGGGGGAAGGGAAGAGGGAGGGAGACTTGAATCTTTGACTTCAAGAAGGCAAAGCCTCTACGAAGTACTTCTTAACCTTCGGTACCACACAACGAAGCTCTTCGTCTAAATTAATTTTTTTATATATATATATATATATATATATATATTTGGGGAGGGAGGGAGAGGGGGAGGGAACTTGAACCCTTGACCTCAAGAAATCAAAGTCTTTATAAAACAAAGAGTACTATTGAACCAAAGATCCGTTGGTATCTAAATTAAACTAAGAAGGAATATCAGACTTATGTAAATCGTTGAAATAATGCACCACAACACTTTCAACATGCACCATATCTGTAATCCACCATCCAGAATCATCAAATAAACCTCTGATTTTTTTAGGTGGCATGCGTATGAAAAAAACTAGTATTTCTGTTACATTCTTTAAGCCAAGAGACTTTAGGCATCTGCTTCCAAAACATCTCCACAACTTCCAATAGCTGATTATATTATCCTGAATACATTTGAAATCCAATTTATTCTCCTATGTCATAGGGAAGTCTTGTAACAGGGAAAGCTTATATTTGTGTGCAACTGATGGCCTACATGCCCAAAGGTATCATTCTTCCACTTTAATACACCAACCCTGCAACTCTGAGCTTTATGAGAAAAATTGAGCATTGGCTATGGAAACTATAGACTATGACATGACTAACGAATAACATCTGAGCAATTGGGATTTGTGAGACACATAGCTTCAAAACGAAATCTCCTCCTTGGTCTATAGTTTAAGTACAACCTTTCCCCTGCTTTAGAAATACGTAGAAGATGCAGACTGTGATCTGAATCTGATGATGCACAAATTGGTATTGCGCAAGATTAAAAATCAAGTATATGAAGAGATGCAATTAA